TTCTGCTGTGCATGGGGTCGCTATGAGTTGGAAACGACTCAACGGCACTTAACAACAACAATAAAGTTCAACAGAGTCTTTTCCCACTCTAAGTTTCTTAGCGCTCTTAGAAAGTGAATGCATGAGACTCAATGTGCAGCGGTGGTGTGCAGCCAAGAAACCTGTAAGACACTGTTTCTCACAGCTCACAGAAAACATGTGGCAATACACAGTACTGATTTCAGGTATATTTGCATTCACCTTCCCTTATATATTACCTGCATCATCTATTGACAAAGTCACTGAAATAAAAGCAGAGTCAATATCTGGCATAAAAATGACTGTGAAAAGGAAGTACACACTACATTAGAATATAAAAAGGAAGTGCATATTTTACCCAAGTCCAGTGAAAAGAAGTGCATGCTTTACCCCATAAGTGCAAAAAAAAAAAAAGGAAGCACACAGATAGTGAAAAGGAAACACATATTTCACCCCATAAGTATATTGAAAGGAAGTGCCTACTATATCCTATAAGTACAGTTTTAGCACAATAGTGGTTTATAATTCTACAGATAACTTCTCAAAACAAGGAAGGAAGGACTTAAGAGAGCAAGCTTATTCTTTCATACCCTAAAGCTTAAATAAATTTTAGTTCTTTTTTGAAGGAAAGTCCTCGATAATGATTTAAACACGTTCCTGCTTTAAAAGAAAAATTAAAACAAAACCAAAAACAACAAACGCCACCATATACCAACATAAGCCAACTGTTTGTTTTTCTTGACTCTTATTTGGGGTGACAATTCTCAACGTACTTTAGGTCTCTGCACGCCTCCTGCCTCAGCTCTTGCCCTAAGCTTTGCCTCTCACATCTGAATAAAGACCTAGAAGTATAAGCACTTTGTCTCAGTTAGCTCTACTGAGGACTCAAGGAGTGGTTCCATTAGGCTGAGGCTGCAGAAAGTCCAAAGTCTGGATAAATGCAGGGGCTAACATATTAAACTGTATCTAGAATTCTTATTTATTAATAAGCCTGCTGCCTGAGGAAAAAACAAACACAAAGCTGTGTGCAATCCCTGCAGACTGACCTTAAGCGCTGCTTGTAATAATCTTCATCTCCATCGTCTCGCCATCTCACTGTTTTCCGACTTCCTCCTCTTCCTTCTCTTGCTTCAGTTTCTTCTCCAGAACTTGGGAAAAAGTCTTCATCATTCTCCTGCACTGTAACTTTCTTCTGCCGCTTCCGACCTTTGAGCAGAGGTTTCAGCTCATAATTGGTGCCACCTTCAGACAGGTCAGCCTCAGAAATTTCCTCCTCCTCCTCCTCCTCCTCCTCCTTGGGTAAGTACTCGGATTCTTCGCTCTCAGAGACTCCCTCTTCCCTCTTTATATCTGATTCTAGTGGTTTCACTCCCTTTAGCAATCCTACTTTCCCCTGTAACTGAAGAGCCCTTTTCTGGAGTTTCGTGATATGCTTTTTCAAGCGCTTATCTGTTTTTGAGAGAACTTTGTTTCTCTTCTTTTGTTTGCTTTCATTTAGTGTTGGATTCAACTCAGAAGAAGCCAAGGCTGGAGCTTTTCTCGTCACTCTTTTATTATAAGCTTGCTTCTTCCTTTCAAAAGATAGTTTTGCTTGATCTGCCAAATACTTTTCAAAGCCTGATGCTTCATTGAGCATTAGTTTTCTAGGCTTCTTCTCCTGTTTCTGAGGGATCTGGGTACCAAAAGGCGTCATCTGGCCTGTGCGGATGAGCTCCTCCCAAGCAGTCTCCTGAACAGGCATGAGCATACTGCCCAGGCAGGATGGTCCTGGCTCTGCAAAAGCAACAACAAAGCATAAGCCTTCCAAGAGGACACCAGAAAGAGCTACTTATTCAATATATATTAAAACTTTTGCTATGGAGTTAATTCTAACTCACAGCAACTCTAAGGACAGAGTAGAACTGCCTCATAGGATTTCCAAGGTTGTAATCTTTATGGGAGCAGACTGCCACATCATTCTGCCACAGAGGAGCTGGTGGGTTTGAACTGCAGACCTTTCAGTTAGCAGACAAGAGCTTAACCACTGTGCCACAAGTACTACTTTCAACAAATAATCAGACACCTGCAAATACTCATAGAAAAAAAGAAATCACTGATGTACCATAATACATATGGAGAATCAAGTACAGTTTATTACACTATTTATCATACTACATTTAATAAAACTATAACATAATCATGGGAGCTCTGGTAGCATAGTGGCTAAGACACTTGCCTGCTAACCAGACGGCTGGCGGTTCAAACCCATCAGCCACTCCTCGGAAGGAAGGTTGGGCAATCCTACTTCTGTAGTGATACTGCCTCGGAAACCCAAGGAGGGGTTGCTATGAGTCGGGTTTGACTCGACGGCACATAACAACAACAACAACAACATAACATAATCATAAATAGATGAATTTAGTGAGGGATTTCCTCATCAATGAGTAGCAGCCCATGAGGAAATAATCTCCCAAATTTCCACATCCTTGTTATACTAGCATTCAGAGGGACTTAAATTCAAGAGATGGTAAAACTGCAAACAGACATCTAAAGAATCAGCATGCACCTCAACAGGAAAACATTAGCTCTGCAGTGCTCAATATGGTAATCACCAATCACATGTGGCAATTTAAATTTAAACTAAAAATTTAGTTCCTCAGTTGTACTAGCCACATTTTAGGTCCTTGAAAGGCCCATGTGGCTAATGGCTATCATACTGGACAATACTGATATAAACCATTTCTTCACTGCAGAAAGGTCTACTGGACAGCCCTATATTAGATGTATGAAGCTAACAACTGAAGGGATGAACTAAAATCAGAAGTTTTGCCATAATGAGTATAAAGTAACCCAGAAATAATCCCACTTTCACTAGCTGAGAAGCAAACTGTTTGCCATATAGCCCAAATACCAAAGGATCTAATGGCTTAATCAGAAGGAATCCATATTCTAAAATCTAGGATTTCTTGCAGACAAATAACACTATAGCCAAATTTTCATGAAACTTGCACTGAAGTAAAATATGTCCCAGAAAAGTATACCAATCATACACATACAGCTCAATGAACTGTCAGAGAAAACATACCCGCACACCAGCACCCAGATCAAGAAACAGAAATTTCTAGCACCCCTGGATGCACCTTTTGTGCCTCCTTCCAGTCACCACCTCACCCCAACAGTCATGACTACCCTGCTCTAACACTATAGATTGGTTTTGCCTGGCTTTTAACTTTATATAAATGGAAATGTTTGTATTCTTTTCTGTCTGGCTTCTTTAATCAACATTATGCTTATGATATCTATACTTGTTGAATGTAATTGTAGTTCACTGATTCTCACTGTTTTAGCAGTCTATTACATGAATATACCACAATTTTTCCACTCCACTGTTAATGGGTATTTGGGCAGTTTCCAGGATTTGGCTACTGGGAAGAGTGTTATTATGAATATTCTCATATACATCCTTTGGGAATATATGTGCACAATTCTTTGAGTATGTTAAACTTTCATATACACTACCAGTTTCCTAAAGTGGCTACATTAATTTTCAGTTCCACCAACAGTGTTTGAAAGCTCCAACTGCTCCACATTCTTGCTACTCCTTTTAGTCCTTCTGGTGCATGTGCAGTGGCATCACACTATCGCTTTAATTTGCATCTCTGGATGATTAATGAATCTGAATACCTTTTCATAGGTTTATTGATCTTTTGGAGAGCTTCTTTCATAAAGAAAATGTTTAAGTATTTTGCCCACTTTTCTCTTAAGCTCTCTGACTACTTTGAAAAATTGATTTCTAAGAGTTCTTTGTTCATTCTAGATACAAGTACTTTGACCGATACATGTATCATGCAGCTTGTCTTTTCACTTTCTTACTGCAATCTTTTGACAAACAGACATTCTTCAAGTCCATTTAACAAATCTTTCCCTTTAGAGTAAGCATTTTTGTATACTGTTTAAGAAGTGTTTACCTACGCCAAGATCTATGGTGTATTTTAAAAGTTTTGTTTTTCACATTTCACATTTGGATCTACAATTCATTTGGAATTTATTTTTGTACATAGTGCAAAGGTTCAAAATTCATTTTATTTTCATATAGTTTAACCCATAACTATTTATTAAAAACACTATTCTCCTTCATTGCACTGGAATGCTCCCTATGTCATAAATCAAGTGGCTCTCTCTTTGCTGGACTCTATTCTGTCCTACTGGTCTACTGTCTATCCTTGGGATAAAACTCACTGTCTTTATTACTATAGCTTTATAAGTCTTGATACTTTGTTCTTCTTCCAGATTGCTTTGGCTATTCTTAGCCCATTGCATTTTTGTATGAATTTTTATGGAACAAAAGAAACAACACTATGAAAAAGCACATAACAAAATGACAGCAACAAATTCATACTTGTTGATAATTACGTATCTGGCAACGGACTTATCTCTAAGATTTATAGGAAATTCCAATGCCTCAACACCAAAGGAATTAATAATCCAATTGGAAAATGGGCAGAAGACATGAATAGACACTTCAGCAAGGAAGATATTCAAGTGGCCAGCAAACACATGAAGAGATGCTCACGATCACTGACCATCAGATACATGCAAATCAAAACAATAATGAGACACCATCTCACCCCAGCACTGATGGCAAAGTTCAACAAGACAGAAAATAACAAATACTGGTGGGGATGTGGAGAGATGGGGACTCTCACACTCTGCTGGTAGGACTGTGAAGTGATACAATCACTGTGGAAAGTAGTATGGCAATTCCTTAGAAAGCTGGAATTGGAGATACTACTTGACTCAGCAATCCCATTACTAGGTATATATCCTAGAGAGGTGAGAACTAGGATAGGAACAGATATATGCACACCCATGTTCAATGCAGCACTATTTACAATAGCAAAAAGATGGAAACAACCTACGTGCCCATCAATGGAAGAATGGATGACCAAACTATGGTAATACACACAAAGGAATGTTATACAGCACTAAAGAATAATGTAGAGTCTGCAAAACACCCCATAACATGGATGAACCTGGAGGACATTATGCTAAGTGAAATAAGTCAGTCACAGAAGGGCAAATATTGCATTAGTTCATTATTATAAAAAGTCAAGGAAAGGTTTATGTATGGAAGGAAGCTTTCTTTGTTGGTTGCCAGGGGTAGGAGGAGGGGGAAGGAACACTGCAAAAACAAAATAAAACAAAACAAAAAACACATTTGCCTATGTCACTTTAGTTTTTGTATTTTACTACACATGAATTATATTTTAATAAAATGCTTTAAAAAAAGAAAAGATTAAGGTGCATCTAACCCAAGCTATGGTATTTAAAAAAAGAAGACTGAAAGGAAAACCAGAGGAGAGAAGAATTCTAGAGGAAACAGGAAAGGTTCAGGTGCTGCAGATAGGCCAAGGGTGAAAAGGGGAGTTTGGATTTGGGAAGGTAACTATTTAACCCTAGGCAAAATTTTACTAAAGTGGCAATACGAGCGGAAAGAGAGCTGAAGCTTTTAGACAGCTACACATGAAATAAAAGACTGTTCCCAATAAGAAAAATGCTACTCAGCAACAGAAAGCACTGGTTGTACGCCTAGCGAATTCTGAGACTGAACTTCAAAAGCATGTTTCTGTAACATTTTTTCTAGCACCTCAGTGAATTCTTCATAATTCTCTCATTTTACTGTAATAAACTGGAGCTAGTAGAAATATTTTCTTGAAGATCTTAAATACTAAGAAATCTTACTCTATATTTCAAGCAGTAAATGACTGAGCAGCTATAAATAATCTCTATTCTTTCCATCTACACATACACAGATATATGAAATGACAACACAGATACTTAGTTCCAGAGCCTACATATTTTCTCAAAAGGTTTTTGTGTTAGATTGGGTTCTCTAGAAAAACACACAAAACAGCAAAGTGTATATATATATATTTAGAGAGAGAGAGAAATTTATCTTAGGAAAATGGCTCACAAACATATAGAAGCCAGCAAGTCCAAGTCTCTGGAGGAAACGGGCTGGCGGCAGCCTTAGTTTCCATAAGTGCAGGGGGCCGAGAAATTCAAGGCTGGCAGGCAGTACACTGGTTGTTGACTCCAACGAAAGACGAATCCAAGATCTCCAGGCCGAGCGGTGGGCTGCTCACTCACGGAAGTTTGTAGTCCACACACCAGGGTTCCAATCCCTCAAAGAATGTGTCTCTTCCCAGGATGTCCCTGGATATCTTGGAAGCAGGCCACACCCCTAGGGAAACTCCCCTTGGGCAGACTGGACACTCAGAACACAGTCATCTGATCCCATCATGGGAACAACCACACAGAACTGGGGTCCAGCCAAGTTGACACACAGCTCCAACTATCACAGTTTTTCAAAAGATAACCATTCAAGGCAGTGATATAGGCAGATCACATGGCCACTGCATAACCTGAATGAAGATGCCTTTTCTTAACAACAAAATCGATGCTTGGAAAGCCTGCCAAATATGTTCCACAAAGATATGTGAAAGCAATTCTAAGAGAGCTGATTGATGATGCTAGGCTTACAATATGCAATTCAATCAAGATGTTAGTTGTCTTTATCAAATTAATTACATAAAACATGTTAAGATTTCCAATTTATTAAACATAATACACCAGCAGCCTCTAGTGAACTGAGTTAAAAATTTACTTTCATTCTTTAAAAACCCCTTATGACTTAGAGATTTGGTTCTGCAGGTGTGGAGAATGAAATTGCCCTAAATCTGTTTTGACAGTAAAGACAAAAAAATGTATTTTCCTCGAAACCTAGCAAAGATTAATAGCTACCTTCTACTGGGTAGAGGGATCAGGCATCAGTTCAAGAACACAGAGAAATGGTTCAGAGTCCTTACCTGCATCCTCTTCCAAGTTGGTAGGATCTATTTCAACAGTCACATCTACTCCTCCAAGGATTGCCTGAAGACGTTTTTGTTTTGCTGTGATCTTCTTTAACTGTTGTTCCTTAAATGGCAAATATCAAACACAGAAAACTGCAATGAAGTTATTACTAAATATAAAAGGCAGGATTACAAACTTAAACACTTCAATCAAAAGTAAAACAGAAATAGGGAGCTCTGGTAGCATAGTGGCTAAGGCACTTGACTGCTAACCAGAAGGTTGGCGGTTCAAACCCACCAGCCACTCCTCGGAAGGAAGGTTGGGCAATCCTACTTCCGTAGTGATACTGCCTCGGAAACCCAAGGAGGGGTCACTATGAGTCGGGGCTGACTCGACGGCACATAACAACAACAACAACAACAACAACAAAACAGAAATAAGGGGCAGAGCAAGATGGCAAATTGAGTGGAGGTTCCCATTTAGTCCTCCAGCAACTTACTTACTGCATCAACAAATAAAAACAAGCACAGACTGAGATTGCAGAATTCCAGACAACAGCTGAGGTGGTGGACAATCAGGGTGAGTCCAGAAGCAGGAGAGACGAGAAGCAGGGACAGCACAGAAGCTGAGAGAACCAGCTGCTAATATCAGGAGCCCTCATTCATCACAATCATTTTGGGATGCAACACAACAACGCAATGCACTGTCATTGAGCCAAATCCAACTCACAGCAACCCCTCCTTGGGTTTCCAAGGTGGTTTCACTATGGAAGTAGATTGCCCATCCTTCCTTCCGAGGAGTGTCTGGTGGGTTTGAACTGCCAGCCTTCTGGTTAGCAGTCAAATGCCTTAGGCACTATGCCACCAGAGCTCCCCATTTTGGGGAGGGGGGGGCCTGGGGCTGGGTTACACCCCAAACAAGAGAGCACAGAAAAGGAGCTAATCTGAGGAAGCTATACCCAGATGTTTTTAAGGCAGTGTAAAATGGCCGTGGGAGTTAGCAGGCTACACAACTTGTTGATGTTGTTGTTAAGTGCCGTCGAGTCGGACCTGACTCATAGCGACCCCCCTCCTTGGGTTACCAAGGCAGTATCACTACGCAAGTAGATTGTCCAACCAACTAGAAAGGGGTAAATGGAGAGTATGGTACTATGAGAGAGCCCAGGTGAATCTCACTGAGTCCTAAGACAAACGGGTACTAGGACCAGGAGGAACAGCAAGGGCAGCACGGCAAGGGGAACACTTCAGACTGACAGGGTGACACAGAGGGAAAAAAGCCCTCACCAGGACACAGTGGGCAAACCTATGCAGGGCACCCATGAGGGAAAAATAATAAGAGCCTCCCATCTTTGTGCCACAGAAAGGTGAAGCCCCGTGGCTCATGTCAGCATCTGCAAGCAGCTTAACCTCCCCTCCTGCACATGCATATTGAATTTCAGAGGTCAAGCACTCATAACTCATGCATCAACACTGGGGGGAAAAAAAAAAACCTAAAGATAAGAATGCCTTCTAGTAGTTCCCAAAAGATACCAATCTCCTGCCACTGTGTCAGTTCTGACTCATAGTGACCCTGTGGAGCTGAGGAGAGCTGCTCCATGGGATTCCAAGGGCTGTGAGTTTTTGTGGAGGCAAGTTGCCATATCTTTATCCTGTGACGCAGCTAGTGGGTATGGGTTCTGGCCTCTTGGCTGGCAACTGGGCACCTGGCTTTTGCCACCAGAGACTCCAATTAGAAAACTTTCCCACGCATACAAAAAATATACACTTTAAAGTAAAAATAACAAAATGATCTAAGTTCAGTTAAAAAAATAGTAAAACACACAAAAAATGCAAAAGAAGGACCAAACAAAATCAAATCATGAAGAAGAAGAAATTTCTCCTATGGAGGCTGGAATAATTTAAAAAATTGATAATTTGTTAACTATAGTGTTAACTATGTTTCAAAAAAGCAAAAAGCACACAGGAAACAAACTAGTACAGATCAGGAAATGAAATGGAGGAACAAAATGAGAGACTCAACACAGAAATTCAAAATATTAACCAAGCAAACAAACAAAGAGAACTACCAGAACTGAATAAAGCCACTGAATCAAAAAAAGCAACAGAAGGATCAACAACAGAGTTGAACAGAAAGAAAATGGAATAAATGAAATGGAAGACAAAGTAAGTGAACACATCAAGTCTCAAGAGAAGCAAGAGGAAAAAGAAAAGTCAACAAACACAACAGGAAATAAAAGAATTCAATTAAGAAATCTAACATTAGAATTATTGGAATCCCACAGCATAATGACAACAATAAAGGCACAGAAAAAATTTTACAAAAGATAATCAGAGAGGATTTCCCATATCTGAACCGAGAACCAAACCTGCAAATATAGGAAGCCACACAAAATCCAATTAGAAAAGACACAAAAAGACCAGTTTCATGTCATAGCCTAATAAAAATAAAATTCTTGAAAATGAAAGACAAGGAGAGAATTCTGAAATCAGCAAAAGAAAAACACAATATAGTATACCAAGGGGCTTTCATAGCACTGATTGCAGTGCTGATTTCTCCCCACGAACTCTAGAGGCCAGAAGACAAAATGGAGAGACATATATAAAATATTAAAAGAAAACAACTCCCAACCAAGAATTCTTTACCCAGCAAAGCTGTCACTCAAAAACGAGGGGAAATCAAGCTATTCCCCCAAAAATAGAAGCTCTGGGAATATGCTACCACCAAATCAGCTCTGCATTATTCAACGGAATACTCCAAATGGAAAGGCAAAAGCAGTAAATAAATACTCACATCTATACATATGGGAATACAAAAATAAAAGAGATCTCCAAAACAAGCAGCAACATTGACAAGCTTAAGGACCAAGTATACGATATTTTCAAGAAGTAAATTCAATAATTAAGTCCTAAAAATAATACAACATCAAATTTATAAGAAATAAGTACAAAGTAATCTTATTGAGTATGGGTTGTATATTGAAGTTAATGGAGACACACCAGCAGAAATGGGGGAGGTTGTTGTTGTTGTTGTTGTTAAGTGCCGTCGAGTCGTTTCCGACTTATAGCGACCCCATGCACAGCAGAAAGAAACACTGCCCAATCCCGCACCAGCCCCACAATCCCTGCTATACTTGAGCCCATCATCGCAGCCACCATGTCAATCCATCTCATTGAAGGCCTCCCCCTCTTTCATCGACCCTCCACCCTACCAAGCATGACATCCTTCTCCAGGGAATGGTCCCTTCTTACAA